TAACAAACATATAAACTACTTTCATTTTTGTCAGTGAAAAAAATCCCATTGCTCTTTTTTCCCAAACTGTCCAACCTCATTTGGAGAGGTATTGTTTTTGTTTTCTTGTCTAACAAAAGTTATACCCCAGTTGAATCCAACACAATTACAATATTGGAAAAACAAAATAGTGCATTAATAGGATAAAAAAAAATCCCTGCATTTATGCTTCCAGAATCAAGGCCCTTTGGAAAACCAAAGCGGTTATAACACTTTCTAGAAGGTCATCAGTGTTGGGTTTCTCTTTGACCTGGAGATTAAGAGGAGGGGGAGACCCCACAAAGAACACCCACCACCACATCCCCTAATAGCTTAATAGGAACCTCAAATTGTAAAAAATATAGAGACAGTGACCAGAACTTTGAATTCTTGCTTTTCAAATGGGCTGCTTTTTCTGAATTACATTATGTATCCCTAATATTAGCCATTATAGGCAGTCCTCGACTTTCAACAATTCATTTAGTGACCACTCAAAGTTACAACAGCACTGAAAATACTGACTTATGACCATTTTTCACACTTATTAAGACTGTTGCAGCATCCCCATGGTCACACGATCAAAATGCAGCCACTCGGAAACTGATTCATATTTATGACGGTTGCAGTGTCCCTGGGACCATGTGACCATAGTTTGTGACCTTCTGACAAGCAATGTCAATGGGGAAGCTGTATTATTTTAATAACCGTGTTAGCAACTTAACCACTGCAGTGGTTCACTTAACAAGTGGCAAGAAAGGTTGTAAAATAGGGCCAAATTCACTTAACAACTGTTTCGCTTAGCAATAGAAATTTCTGGCTAAATTGTGGTCATAAGTCAAGGATTACCTCTACTCTTCATACCATCCAGAAGAATGGATGGAAAAATTGACTGCTTTCATAAGATACGAAGGTTTGTTTCTACTTAGAAACTTTTTGTTCGAGGAAAATAAAAAGAACTCTTCATGGTTGACTTTGCTTATTAGACTAATTTGTTTTTATAGACACGGCTAATAATTACTAAAGATGTAAAAGTAAAAAGTTGAGGCTGTGATTTTATTTTGTATTATATACTGTGCTAAAAAAAGTTGGAAGTCAATGCTTTCCCCCCCCCNACAATTTTTGCACTCTGCAAACCTCCCAAAAATGGCTCGTTTTTCGCAAAAACGGGCCTGTTTTTTGTCAAAAATATTGCATGTATAGCCTTATGCATGCTTTCAGAGTGCTGCTGGGGACTGGGGGAGGGGCAAAAAAGCTCTTTCTTTTTGCTCATTTCTGCCCGCCCCAGCCCCCAGGAGCTCTCTGAAAGCCTCCATAAGAGGATGCACGGCCATTTTGGTGAAGGGGCGGGGCTTTGGGAGGCAAAAAATGCTGTATTCAGTGTATAAGACGCACCCAGATTTTCAGCCTTGTTTGAGGGAAAAAAGGTGTGTCTTATACTGCGAAAATACAGTAACTTCTCTGCTCCCAAAGACCTGGTCTGTCACCAACTTATAATCAGACAGAAAAAACAAGGGACTCTAAACATTCTTTTCAATACCAGCCCAAATTTTCCCATTTGTCCAGATATTCCATTCTACACCAAGATTGACTTCAATTATCTAGGTCCGTGATGGCACGCATGCCACAGGTGGCACGCAGAGCCATTTCTGAGGGCACATGAGACGTCCTGTCAGCAACGCCTCGTGTGTTTCCCTGCCCTGAGAGCACGGAGGCATTAAATTATAGGGGTGGGAATGTGGGCGGGTGCAATAGTGTGGGCGTGCAGGCTTTTTCCACCCAAGGCGAAAAAGGTTTGCCATCACTGATCTAGGTTATGTTTATTGGATCTTCATAATCTTAAAGGCAGTGGTCTCCAACCTTGGCAACTTTAAGACTTGTGGACTTCAACTCCTAGAGTTCCTCAGCCAGCAAAGCAAAGCTGGCTGAGGAACTCTGGGAGTTGAAGTCCACAGATCTTAAAGTTGCCAAGGTTGGAGACCATTGCTTTAAGGTACCTAATCTTATACTTTTTTCATTGCCACTGTATTATATTTCTCTTTGAGTTACTGGCATCAGAGCTTAAAACAGCAAGCAACTGAGATTCTTTTAAATTCTTATAATATTTACCTTTCTGTAGATGAAGTCCACTTTTCAGAGTATCTGGGGAAGAAAAGGGAAGGATTCAGTATCTCATCACTGGAATTAGAGCAACTGAAGGACCTCCCTACAAATAACTTGATTTCCTTTGCTTGGACTCAAATAAGGAAATAAGAAATAACTATATATATATGACTATATATCTGTGATGGCGAACCTATGGCACGCGTGCTACCATATCAGCGGATACGCGAGCCATTGCCCAAGCTCGGCTCCAGCATGTATGTGCATGATGACCAGCTGATTTTTGGCTGGCCCAGGCATTCTGCCTTTCCCTTGCCAGGAGTCTCCACGCGATGCACAGAGGCTCTGGGAGGGCATTTTCAGCCTCCGGAGAGTCTCCGGGGGTTGTGGGGAGGCTGTTTTCGCCCTCCCCAGTCTCCAAGAAAGTTCTGCGCACATGAACTGGGCATTGGGGGGGAAGGTCACGCACACATGTACAGGAGGCTCAGCGCAGGGGGGCATTAAATTATGGATGTGGGTATGGGAGCGCGTGCAAGCATGCACGAGCTGCACAATAGCGCACATGCTTTTGGCACCCAAGGCGAAAAAGGTTTGCCATCACTGCATACATATACAGGTAGTCCTCTGTGTATATTCCATATACAGGTAATCCTCAACTTACAACAACTCAATGACCATTCAGAGTTACAATGGCACAGAACAAAGTGACCGGTTCTCACACTCATGACCACTTCAGCATCCGCACAGTCACATGATTAAAAGTCGGGCACTTTGCAACCAGCTTGTGTGTATATATATACATCATATATATATATATATGATGTTGCAGCATCCTATGGTTCTGGGATTGTTCTCTGCAACCTTCCTGGGTGGCTTAACTGCCATGATTTTCTTAATAAGTGTGCCAAAAAAAAGTTTGCAATATTGGGCCTAACTAACTTAAGAACTGTCTTTCTAAGCAACAGAAATTTTGGGCTCAGCTATGTCCATAAGCCCCTTCATGGATTACTGCCTTGTTGTGGCGAAGGGGCTTGCGTAGTTCAATGAAGCTATGCGCTATGCCATGCAGGGCCACCCAAGACGGACAGGTCATAGCAGAGAGATCTGACAAAATGTGATCCATTGGACAAGGACATGGCAACCCACTCCAATACGTTTGCCATGAAAATCCCATGGACCATAGAGTCGTGATGGATCGGACACGACTTCGCAACTAACAACAACAATGTCCATATGCCAAGGACTACCTGTATATAGTCCATTATATTTAGTGGAAATATAAATTACATTATATTTACCTGTATATAGTCCATTATATTTAGTGGAAACTTTTTCTGCTTCCCCGGTGAATATGGATTTGGAAAATAAAAGGATACAGCTACTCCTTGACTTACAACCACAACTGAGCCCAGAACTTACGTTGCTAAGTGGGAAAGTTGTTAAATGAGTTTTACCCCATTTTATGACTTTTCTTTCCACATTTGTTAAGTGAATCACTGCAGTTGTTAAATTGATAACCCGGCTGTTAAGTGAATCTGGCTTCCCGTTTTGACTTTTGCTTGCCAGAATATCGCAAAAGATGATCACATGACCCCAGGAAACTGCAACCGTGATAAATATGAACCAATTGCCAAGCATCCAAGGTGGCGCAGTGGTTAAATGCAGCACTGCAGGCTACTGCTAGATCAGCAGTTCAGCGGTTCAAATCTCACCAGCTCAGGGTTGACTCAGCCTTCCATCCCTCCGAGGTGGGTAAAATGAGGACCCAGATTGTTGGGGGCAATATGCTGACTCTCTGTAAACCGCTTAGAGAGGGCTGAAAGCCCTATGAAGCGGTATATAAGTCTACTGCTATTGCTATTGCTATTGCTATTGCTATT